TTTTAATTTTATTTATTTGTGTGTGTGTGTGTGTGTGTGTGTGTGTGTGTGGCCAACTCAGCCCACCAGGGGGCGGGGCAGGCTGGCATGTGGTGCTGGTGGATCAAACCGTGGTCCCTGTGCTTTGCTAAACTTGTTCTAAGTAGGTGCTTTAGACCACTGAGCCATCTCACCAGCCCTCTGACATTTTAAATGGAAGTACTATGTTTTATTTTCCAGCAAAATATGTTTATATATTTTCCAAGGCCAGGACAGTGTCCCAGCAGCTTGACATTTAATTTATAAAATCAATAAGCTAGAATTTAGTTTTTTCATTTTAGCAGTTTTTAATTAAAGTCGCACAAAGGAGGACTTCATTCCTGCATCTTCTCAATCGTTTCTTCCTTGTGTTTGCCCTTTTCCTTTCCTACTTGGTGAGACTAGGCTTTCCGTTCCAGGATCTTTTTGCGGTCTTTGTCTAGCGTTAGCCTGGTGATAACCACTTACTGGGGCGCATGCCCACATGGACAGTTGTGCCATCTGCCTGTGCCCGCTGTCCTGTTCAGTGTAGACGACATACTTCTTCCTGTAATCCTGGACAACTTGCCGATCTGCTGACCTTGTAGTGTCCTCGCACAAGCTGAACGTCAGCATCCTTTTGGACGGGCATGGAGTGAACGTTGTATTTCTGTCTCAGCTCTTTAGAAAGAGGGGAAGACATAATTTTGCTGCAGATGTGGGAAGGTGCATTGAAATGCAGTTTACGGTTTTTGCTTCAGTCTGAAGTCACAGAAGGATTGAACTTCATTTTGGCCGCTGCAGCGCCAGTGATGGCTGCGAAAGGGAAGGGTTAGGCTAGAATTTATACGTAATTTTATGGTTCCCACCTTCATTCCATAAAACCTCAAGGGTCCTTTTGGATGCGGTCTCTGCGTGGAAGCATCGGGCAAGCGCAGCTCATTTTGTTCCGAATCTCACTGACCTTGCAGCTTACTTACATATCATAATACGCTTTCTTCCGTATGTTCTCATTAATTCTGCTTGTCTAGCTGCATTGAGGTAAGAGCATGTCAAAGAGAAAAGTAATTCCTCTCTTTGCAGTCGGTCTACTTTAGTAATACATGCAGCATTGTACATAAAATAGGTAAGCTGAATTCCAAAGCAGGGAAGCCAGTCATATTTCTAAGTTGTGACGCATTTTTAGTGTCCCAAGATAGAATTCCCTTTACTGCTTGAATTATTTGCAGCTTATCTGTTGTTGTGTTAGGATGTGTTTGGCATTTGTTTTGTTTTAATTACTTTATATTTTTATTTAGGACAGGCAGCTATGAGAATTGTTACTCAAAAAGTATGTTTTATAATAGCTTGAATTTAAATAGTTTTTAATAAATTCTGTATTTTTCAAAGCAGTGTAGGTTAGTATTCTGTTGCCAGAGAAATCAAGCTACATTTCTCGAACATGCTTCTAAAAATACCAGTGTCTTATATAATTGTTCCTTAGTCATACACACTTAGGAAATACTGGCATGATGTGATTTAGCAGATTGTTTGTTGTTTTGTGGGGGTGTCGTTGGATTTTCATATTGCTTATCCTGGTTCATATCTTTTATTCTGATAATGTGCTTCATGAATAGACAAAAGAGAGCCCCAGTGGTCAGTATTTTCCAATTCAAAGTAACCACAGAGCCAGGGAAATGGCTCAGTAGAGTAAGTGCTTCCCTGGCAAGCGCAAGGGCCTGAGTTTAATCCCCAGCTCTGCAAAAAAAAAAATCAATCAGAGTAACCACAGAGTGCCCCCTCTGTTTTCAGAGAACTCCTACAACAGCAGCAATAATAATAGCATTATTGATCACAGTGTATAATGGCAAGTGGGATCTGCCTCACAGTACCCTGGCAGAGAGAGTTAATACGGATTATATTAACTTCTTTTGTTCTCATATTACTATGAGCTGTGTACTTACTATATAATTAGTTCCGTTTTATAGAAAAAAAAAAGGTGAGAATTTGTCCAAACAACACATGACGTTATATATACTACAGGATTTTATGTCACAGTGAACTACTTGCCAGGAAAGAGTTTGGCCTTGCTTTTCTTCGTGGAGGGCTTAGTATTAGCAGTTGGTCCCAGGACCTTTGCGCTGAGCTGCATGCCCAGTCCCTTCTATTTCTTTGAGACAGGTCTTGTAAAATTGCCTTCTCTAAGCCTAAACATGTAATCCTCCTGCCTCAGCCTCCCAAAGTGATGGGAACACAGGTGTGTGCCCCTGTGCCCAGCAGACCTGGAGCTCCAGACCCAGCAAGGGCTTGGATGGCTGTCAAAATTTAGGATTGTTTGTAACGCTTTGAACGTGTGTGGTTTTCTAGCAGATGGGTACAGAATTTTCATTTGGTTTTCAGAGGGGTGTATTTTTAAAAATTATTAAAAATTATTTCATTGCTGGAAGATCAAAAGTAATGTCAACTTTCTAGTCTAGTGCTTTTAAAAATTACTTTCTCCACTCCAGGTATGGTGCATACCTGTATTGCTAGCCCTTGGGAGGCCTGAGGCCAGAGGCATGAGGATGGGCATGAGTTTGCGGTGAGCCTGGGCTAGGCAGTTCAGGGTCACAGCAAGACGCTGTCTACAAAAACCAATTTAAAAAGAAAATAAAATTACTTTATTCTGGTATATGCTATTAAGCCTGTCATTACCAAAACTTACTCTTGAGAAAAAAATGTACCATGAAAAACATTTTAAGTTTTAGTTAGAAGTATGGTGTTATTTTCAAATCCCAGCATTAGATACAATTTTATTTTCTTTGTTGTTTTATTTAGTTGGAATCATTTTTTAAGGCAACATTTTGTCCTACAACTGTCTTGTCTCTTAGGACCTAACCCTGGAAGAAGAGATGGACTATTTTCAGAGGCAAGTTTTAACTCTCCACAGGGTGTAGCCGTGATGGATAATATCATATATGTGGCAGACACTGAAAACCACCTTATAAGAAAGGTAATTTTCCTTTTTAAGTGAAAATTCTTAATACTTCTAATCAGAAAAAGTACTACTTATTTGCTACGTGAGATACTTGAAGTTACAGTATGATGTGGAAATAGTAGGAGTATCCGTATTTCTTTCCGTTAAGTCGTGTGCCCAGTTATCTCCCTTTGAGGTATTTTTCTAACCACTAGCTTACAGAGTGATACTTTGTCCTTTCAGATTAAATTTTCTCAAACTAGACAAAAAGTCATACTATTCCTGCCTCCCTTCAACTCTTGTGCTTTGGCTGAAGATACTTATTAGTCTTAAAAATGTATTTCATGAGGGAAGAGATAGGGAGGAGGATGAAAAACAATGAGGATGTGTTATGGGCGCATACTGATTCCCCGTGATGAGTGCAGTCATTATGGACTGCAACTATATGCTAATAAAAACTTCTTAAAATTATTTCATCTCATTAAAAAATGGCCTTGTTTTTTTAAAATCAGTTATTATGTAAAGGTAAAAGAATTCCCTGACCATCAACTCTTATTTTCCCAGAGAGAATCAACTATTCTTAAGTCTTGCATCTTTTTAGAAAATTTCTACCTGCAAATACATATTTGTATATAAGACTATAGCCAGATATAGTGGTGGTGCATTCTTGTAATCCCAGCACTCTAGGGCAGGAGGATTGAATATTCAATCCCAGTCTAGGCAGTTTAGCAAGAGCCTGTCTCAGAATTTTCAGAAGGGCTGGAGATGTTGCTCAGTGCAAAAGCCCAGGGTTTAATCCCCAGTACTGAAAGGGGGCAATCCTACTTGTTTTGCACAGATGTATTTTTTCCCAGGTTAGCCACTTGAGTGGCATGACTGTCATATTTCTCAGTTGGTAAACCCAATTATTTTAAATATTTCCTGTCTGGCTATTTTGGGTATAATCCACCGCTCTTTAAGTTATTATGTATGTGGAAAATAACCAAGTTCTCTAACCCATCCTTTTGGATGAACACGTTTCAGATGTGTCCTTGCTTTCCTTAGTGTTTCTTTTAGTATTCATTTTTATGTGACAGTGTCATCACTTGAGTACAAGTCATGGCAACTACACACACTAAATAGCTAATAATATCCCTGCAATGTGTATCTTTTTAAAAAAAAAAAAATCTGTTACTTATTTATTTGGTACAGGGTCTCATAGCACAGCTTGGACTCATAGTGATCCTCCGGTCTCAGCCACCCCAGCACTGGGATTATAGGTGTGTGCCACCATACCCAGTGTTGGTGGCCAGCAAGGCGGCTCAGCATGTGGTACCAGAAATTGAACCCGAGTCCTTGTGCTTGCCAGGCAGATGCTTAGACCGCTGAGCTATCTTGCTGGCCCCTGCAATGTAGGTCTTACTAAGGGCAAAAAATATGTTTTCTTTATTTCTAAAACCCTAGCACTTAGGATAGGGCCTGGCCCATGGAAGCTGTTCAATAGCTATTTGTTAAATGAACTTATGAAAAAATAGCATCCACTTAATCATTTTCAAAAAGGATTCTTTAAAGTCTTAGAGACTTTTTGAAATGTAAGCATGCTAGTATATTGTTGAATACTGTGTATTAGTGGGCGAATAATTGTGCAGTATTTCTAACATTTGGTGAAGGAGCTCTTGTAGGCTGAGCTCCTCAGACTAATGTTCCCATGGTAAATACTCTGCAGAAAAGCTTTTCTAACATTAAATGCTTAAGGATCAATATTTCTTTATCATTTCTTTCTGGTGTTGTGTTTTCCATAATCACTCCGAATGTCACAATATCCAGCAGTACATTGAGGCAGTACAGCAGGTAGCCTGCGTCACTCAGAGAATACTTGTTCTTTCTACATGAACATCCTTTCTCTTGCTTCAGAACTTCATGGGTTTTGGGATCTTGACCACAAGGCTGCATTTTAAATGCTTGTGTACTAAGTAGCATAATCACAACAAGTTCAAGTTTCTTAAACTTGTTCTATATTAGTGTCTATAAAAACAAGCAGAAATATTTCTTGTATTTTGTTTAAGACCTCATGTGCAGAGAACTGGGTTGATCCAGCTCCTGTGCTCCTGCCCACCAGCGCGTGGCTCCATTCATCTTCTGTTGTGTGCATCGCCCTTTCCCATTCCCATTGCCGTTCCCCTTCCGGGAAGCAGCCAGCAGGCAGCCACTCTGCTGAGTTTAGTGCACGCCTTGGTGACTTGTGAAACCGTCTTTTGTGCACGTGGCAATCTTCAGTGACTTTATTCTGATGTATGATAAAGTTTATCCATGCAAGTACAATTTATTAATTTTTTTTTTAGATTTAACAGCTTTTACAGACATCAAAAAAGAATTTTAGACTCTTTTCATCCCTCAATTAAGAACTCTCAAAATCAGTTGGAGTTTGATTTTGAAAGTTCTCAAAATCAAACGGATAAGCCCCATCCTAGGCAACTACTGATCTTTTCAATTAATTTGTTTCTTGAAAATTTTGTATACATTTTCATAAGATTGAAGATACATGGTTTCTTTTTTCTTTTTCTTTTCTTTCTTTCTTTATTTTTTATTTATTTATTTATTTATTTATTTATTTATTTATTTTTGTGGTACTGGGGATTGAACTTGGGACCCAAGTGCTTATTCTACTGAACTATCTCTCCAGCCCCTACATGTTTTGTTATGTTTGCCTTCTTTTTATTTGTTTTACCTGTTTTGAAGTAACATGAAAGTTCTTTATCCTTTGTATTGTTGGGTAGTGTTCTGTTGTGTGGATATGCCACATTTTGTTTGTCCATTTACCAGTTGATGGGCATTTAGGTTTATGTTTTAAAGTTTTCATTTTGTTTTGTAGTCTCACCGTGCAGTTCAACCTGGCCTTGAGCTCACGCCAATCTTGCTGTCTTGGCCTTTCAAGTGCTAAACTTACAGGTGTGCACCAACTAGCTTGTTTCTGACTTCTTAATAATACTGCTATAAACATTCTGTGCAAGTTTTACATTAAAATATATTTCATTTCTCTTGAGTAGCTACTAGTACTAAATTATTTTGGTCTTTTTTTTTTTCTTTTTTTTTGGTACTGGGAATCGAACTCTGGGCTTTGCGTTTGCTAGGCAGGCACTGCACCGCTGAGTGACAGCCCTGGCCCTAGTACTGGAATTATTGCTGTATGTTTTATGTTTGACGTTCTGAGAACCTGCTAAATTGTTTCCCACAGCAGTTGCAGCATTTTGTATTCTCGTCTGAGGGAGATCTGTTCCAGCTTTTCCACATCCTCACCATTACTTGTTATTTTTCTTCAAGAGAAATTAAATTCTAAGCATTCCATGGACTATGAATTGGCATTTCATTGTGGTTCTGGTAGGCATTTTCCTGATGACTAATGACATCAAACATCTTTTCTTGTGCTTATGAAACATTTTTATCTCATGAGAAGTCTATTCAGATTCTTTGCCAGTTTTTTAACTGGATAATTTGTCTTTTTCTAATGAAGCTGCAAGAATTCTTTATATATTTGGTGTGTAAGTTCTTTATCAAACATGATTTGCAGCGATTTTTTCATATTCTTTGGGTTGTCTTTTTAATTAATGAACTTTTGATAGACAAAAAATTTAAATGTTGATGGTGCCAAATTTATCTTTTTTTTTTCCTTTTTTTAATTTATATTACTTTATTTTTTTCTCCATAATTTTATTGAGAAACAAATAGCAATGAGACAGATCAAATTGGTAGGACAGTTTCAATAATTAACACATTGCATACTATCTTCCTAGTGGTTATTTACTTTACAAGATGCAGACATGATGTCCTATTTACAAACACTATTAGAACAAATCCCTTTATTCATTAAGAGAATGTAGCTATATGTCTATCCTAACCATTTTGAATACACAGATACAAAATGGACATTCATCTGTATCCCCTTTTTTGTTTAGTTCCATCATTTTGAATATCACAGGTTTGTGAACTCAGCAAAATATTTTAAGAGTCCAGTAGTCCATTATAGTATTGGTTCTTCCTCTAGGAAAGTGATCGATGATGTAGAGTGTGCCTAAGGAGAGTCACGTGGAGAGAAAACATTCTCTCAGGCCTTCACAGAGAGCACATTGGCCAAGCAATGGCCGTGACTCATCCACATGGCTGACACTGACAGAGGATCTACAATCTGAGGTCCAGGGTCTCAGGATAAATCTTGAGGGAATTTGACTGACCTTATCAGATCCAAAAGCTACAACTCTTGTTGCATAGGTCTTGCTTTATCTTGTTCTTAACTATCCAACAGAAAAGTATAAAAACTAAGTAGAAGAAGTAAAGCCATAGTGTTATGTTGAGCTGTATGGGACTCAGGTCAACAATTTCTGACATTGCCAGTCAAGCGGAAGGCCCAATACTATTTTTTCCTTTCCTTATCCTTTTGTTGTCCTGTATAAAAAAGATTTTCTTGGGCAGGCCAAATAGCTCAGCGGATTAAAGTGCCTACAAGCAGGCCCCGGGGCCCAGGGTTGGATTCCCAGGCCTGCCATGCCGGCCCCACCCCCAGGTCAGGTTGAACCTGCAGTTGAGACTGGTCATGGTAGCGCATGCCTGTAATTCCAGCTCTTGGAAGGCTGTAGACAGGCGGATCACTGCAGTCTAGTAGTGAGACCCTGAACACCCTATAGACCCTTCCCTAAAATTAAAAAAAAAAAAGACTTTGTTGTCAAATCAAAGGTCACAAAGATTAGTCCTACTTTTTTTTTTAATCTATAAAAACATCATTCTTTTGAGTTGGTTTCTGGGTATGTTTGTGATAGAGGTCCACTTCATCCTTTTGTATGTGTGTATCTAGTTATCCTGTTGCCAGTTACTGAAAGACTGTTTTGCCTCATCTTGGCCTGGCAAGCTTGTTGAAAATCAGTTTCTCATAGATAATACTTTCTGCACTTTTGTCCCTCTTCCATTGAGCTCTGTGCCTATTGGCCAGTGCTGCTCTATTTTGCTTGCTGTATTTTGTATTAAGTTTCTAAACCTGAAAGTGTAAGTCTTCCTACTTTTTTTCTTTCCCAAGACTATTTTGGCGCTCTGGGGCCCTTGTAATTCCATGTGAATTAAGGATCAACTCCCCCATTTTGTTTTAGATGTTTCCTATAGAAATAATTGTCAATGAAAACAGATCATTTCTAATTTTTAAACATTTTCCCCCCTTTTATTGTGTTGCTAGCTTGGACTTTTTACTGCTTTTAGAAGTTATTAAGGCTAGTAGGTGAGTATCAATGTGATTCCCACCTCTGCCACATATGAAGAGATGCTGACAGTCTTGCAGGGAACGAGTCGGTTTTCTCCACAAGTTTAGTATTTGTTGTAGCTTTGGGAAATAAAATA